CGTAAAGCTGAGAAAAGGTAATGGAGCCGTCCACCAAAGGGGAGCCGGAAAGGGGGGGGGGGGGGGACGACAGGGAGGCCAGAACGGGCGGGCATGGTTCCACTGTGGTTCTTTCGCTACGCCGTCCCCTACACAGACACACACAGTTCGGCCCTATTACCTTCCTAAGGAAGAGAATCTAAAAGTGGGGGGGTCAAGAGACTGGGGTAGGTCTATACTTAACTCCTAACGTGCACTGGGGTCATCACAACCTCTGAGTACCTGGGCATAAGGTGGGACAGGATGACAGAATGAGGATGCTCAGAAGAAGAAAAGCTACCAAGGGGATCAGAACCCAGAATCTCACTCACAGGTGGCGAATGAGCACTGGATAGCTGAGGAGGCTGCGGGGGTGCTGTCGGAGACAAGGCACCCTTTCTGCTCCTGCCTTTGAGGCTACCGTCTTCTCCACAGAAAAAGGATATCACACAGCCCTCTACCTATACTCCCCTCATCCTCTAACTAGGGAAACTGAGCAGAAACAAGCTCAACTCATCTCTCAGGGCCAAGGACAAGGACAACAGATAGTGTAAATGTGATAGGCCAAAAGTAGAAAAGTGAGTGGAGCTGGGGCTGGCATGCACTCAGAACCAAGGAAAGAACAAACCACACAAAGGAGCAGCTGTTTTTCTAGAGGGTTTTTCTCAGGGGCATCTCTTAGTGCTGCAGTTGCTGTAAGCTGTGCAGGGCCTCAGCACACGCCCGGATAAGGCCACACACCTGGATGCTAGTCTCCAGGGAGGTGCTAGATCCTAGCTCAGCAGAGGCCCAGGTCAGCTTCTGCAGGAGGGCCGCCTGTGTGCAGGCCACGACATCTGCATTCGGAGGCACAGCAGGAGGGGCCGGTCCCTGGGCTGCCCTGAGTCCTGCTGCAGCTCCCTCACAGTGCTCCGGCCGGGGTACTGGGGGCTGAGGGGCAGGACGAGAGCCTGAGGGGAGCTCTGAGACAGAGGCGAGCTGGTGCTCCCGCGCTTGGGAGAGGGCAGCTTGGGCATTCAGAGCTAGAAGAGGAGAAAGTGTGTGGAATGGTCAAGATGCCTGGCTCACCTCGGCCCTGAGCCACCGCCTCCTTTCTACTGCTGTGCTTTTTCTATGCTTGAGGTGTTTCCCCTGCTACTCTGTAAAGCAATTCATCCGCTTTCAACTTTGTATCACAGTTACTTATGCCCTAGCTTCATCCCTCCATTAGGACTGCCTGATTGAGTTCAGACTCTCCCCGAGTGTTTGGCACAGAGTAGGTGCTTAGTGCTCTTAATGAATGGTCCTCTCTAGAACTGAAAGGGGAGAGCACTTTACCCCCACCCCCACCGACTCCACCAACTGTCACCTCCTAGGCCTACTGTTCTCGAGCCTCTATCAACGGGCACACCTGGCTCCTCACCCGGATTATCTTTATCCACGTCTGAATCGAGCTCCTGACAAGCCACGCAGTAGATTTTCCGCTGTTTGTCTTGGAGGAGGATCGTCTAGGGACCAGAAAGCACAGGGGACGGGTGAGACACCGTGTGATCGGGTCCAGAGGGAAGAGCCGAGGAAGGGCCATGCGGCCTGGCCCGCGGCCCCATCGGCGGACACTCGCCCGAGTCTCTCCTTACCCCGCAGTCCGCGCACGTATCGCCCAGCATGCGGTACCCGCGCAGCAGGTAATCGCCCATGAGCCGGGAGATGCGATCCTGCCGCTCCCGTCGCGCCTGCAGCACCTTCGTCTCCGCCTCAGTCGGGGGCTCCCAGGAGAAATCGTCGACTTCTGGAGAAGAGAGGCACAGGGACCGGGGGTCTTGCGGGAGCGGGCTGCCTCCCGTACCTCGCAACCACAGGCCCCCGCAGCCCAAATCCTCACCAGCACCGTTCAGGGCCATGTTGCCGTTGTCGCCGCTGGTCTCGCCGGAAATGACGCACAAGGAGCGCGCTTCCCGCTGCGGCTCCGCCCCCTCCATTTGGGACGAGGAAAGGGCGGAAGTGACGCTTCCGTGTGGTCCTCAGACCTCGCTATGCCCAGAGTGAGGCGTGTCTGCCGCAAACTTGACCCTGCCCTGGAGGCGCGTCAGTCAGCCGGAACCCAGTGGACAGAAACTTTCGATTGGCTGGGCCTCAGGAGGGGTGTCTCCGTGGTAACTTCTCCCGTCGTAGGACCTGGAAGTGGCTTCGCGGGGTCGCCCTTCCTGCGGGGCCACTTGGCCTGAGGGATCTCCTCTGGCCCCCACGTCCCCTGGGCTTTCCCTTTCCGCACAGGCCGAGCCGGGGGCAGGCGGGACCCTGAAGTCATCACAGCAACAACCGTAATGACAAATGGGCCTTAAAAAAAAAGAAAAGAAAAAACCACAAATGGCCCTTTGCGCGCGCGTGGAGCCTCCCAGGCCTCGGTGTGTCTCACTTGCACGGCAAGGCGAGCCAGGCGGAGGTCACTCTCGCTTTCAGCCTGTTTCAAGGCCCCTCCTCTTGTGCATGTTCGCTGTCCCAGTCTGCTCTGCCCCCACCCCCCGATCCAAGGCCCGGGAATGATGCAAAGTCTGCCCCTAAACAGACCACTTTTTGAAGTTTAAACCCTCAAAAAGCGGCCGACTGAACAGCGCTGCCCTGGGCATGCGCAGTTGCGGTTCCAGCCGCGACTAAGCGATGCGCGCTGGAGGGTGGGGATAGGGGTCTCGCTACATATTCTTGAGACTGTTAGTTTCTTCTCGCGTGGGTTGCAAATTAAAATTACCCCGAACACTGGCCTTAGCTTTTTTTTTTTTTTTTTTTTTTTTTCCTTTTTCTGTGTTCTTTTCCGTACGCATCCTCTCCCTTATTAGGTTTGGAGAAGCCAGATGGGGCAGGACCTCCAGCTGTGCAGCCTGCGGGGCCTCGAGAATGTACACCTGGGCAGTGGGAAAGGAGCTAGGAATTAGATGCCCGTAATCTCGTCGGCAACCTCCTCTGTCTGGACTGGGCATGTTCTCAGTCTTACATGAAGTGCCCCTCTTCCCTCTCTCATCTACCAGCAGGCTCTTGGGCAACAATGTACCCGACTCAGGGCATGTACCCCAAGTCACTTCTGCCAGGCTGACTAGAAGGACTGTCTCTGAACCATCTTTTGAACTCCAACCTGTAGGCAAATACCCTCCAAGTCATTACCATCTCCAGCTCCCGGCCCTACCCTGAATTCCACAATGCATCCTCTGTCATCATCGCAGCCATATCCCCTCAACTTCCTACTCTCCCTGGCACCAACTAAGACCCTTACACTTATCCTCCCACTTAATCCCTTTCATTTACTCTTCATGACAACCTTATGGGATAGGTACTACTATTATCCCCATTTAATAGAGAGGAAACTGAGTAACTCTTTTAAAACATAGATTGTCTCACTCCTTTGCTCAAAACCCTCTGGCATCTCCCCATAACACTTAGACAAAAATTCAAAGTTCTCGTTATGATCTCCGAGGTCCTACAAATTGGGTCCTTGGCTCCCTGCATCTTCTCCAACTCTCCCTGCTTTCCTGCTCTCCCACTACTCAAGGGGATTCCCATCACCTTTCACTTCTTAGGGCCCCTCCCTGCCTCAAATTCCACTGTAGGGTAGACAAGACAGGCCTGGAATCAGTCAGGCCTGGGTTTGATCCTGGATCTGCTGCTTACTGGCTGTGTCACCTGGAGTAATTTACCTCACCTCTCTAGACTTCAGTTCCTCATCTGTATAACAGGGCCAGTTATACCTACTTGGCAGCATTGCTGTGAAGATTTAGTGAGGAGATGTGAGGAGGGAGGTAATAGACAATTCTCCACCAGTCTCTCGTGTTTTTGCAGGTCTTCTGAGCAAAACACTACTATCTTTGTTCTGGACTATCTTTTCAAGGATGTTTGTATAATGAACAGCCTTGGACCACAGAGATAATGTCTCTAGAGCAAAAAGTGGGCATACTTACTGCCTACTATGAAAAATTTGGCATAGAAGTAGAGAGTAGAATAGTGGTTACTAGAGGCTGGAGGGAGTTGCGGGGGGAACAGATTAGTACAAAGTTACAGTTCGATAGGAGGAATAAGTTCTGGTGTTCTATTGTGCGGTAGAGTGACTGTGGTTAACAATATTGTGCATTTCAAAATAGCTAGAAGAGAGGATTTTGTTCTCATTACTAAGAAATGATAAATGCATGAGGTGATGGATATGCTATATACTCCGATTTAATCATTACAATGTATACATGTATCATAACATCACAGTGTACCCCATAAATATGTACAATTATTGTGTCAATTAAAAACAAAATAACTAAATAAAAAGAAAAAGGATTTGGGTTCTTGTTCTGTAATACAACTCATCGTGTATGTAGGCATCCATGTGGGTCCATCTGCTTTGCCTTCAGTAGACTGAGGGTAATGGGAAGTGACATAAATATGCTCACGCTTATGCTGCTTGCTGTGCTGTGAGTAATAAAGTCCTTTGTCTCTAACCCAGAAGTCTCATGTCTCCTGCCAGCATCCATGAGGTTGCGCCAGTCTTTTTGTTTACAAGTAGGGCAGAATCTTAGATCTTTGACAGTTCTTGATAGTTTTTGCAATGAGGATGGGACGCTGACAGAGACATGGCTTTTTGTAAGAAGGATGAGGATCTCTCATGGGCTGATTAACTGGTTTTGAGGGAAGGCCAAGGAATCGGTAGCACACACATTAACCAAATTGTATGACCAACCTTTGCCTTTATTTCCTGTTCATGAGGAATTGGGAAGATGCTCACAGGCCAAGTAACAGGAAATAGGTTCGAAGTCAGCTGCTGGACATTGCCCTGGTTGTTGCTAACTCTCCTCTGGGTGGGGTCGAGGAATGGAGGGGGAGTTCCTCACAGCCTCAGCTCTGCCCCGTGTAACCACCAGTACTAAGACTCATCCTGGGAGTACAGAAGTTTCCACATCCTTTCAGACAGTATTTACAAAGATGCACACACATACTAAGCACGTATGGAGAAAACTTCACTACCACTATGGGCAAAAACCAGATGAATCATTAGAACTTTGGCTGGTTCACTTGGGAGATGAGGGACAGGGCATGTGATGCTTGCTAAGGAAGAATGGCAACATCTGGGCCACCATACAACATAGCCCTTCCTATCATGTCAACCTCATATCCATTCCAAGGTGACAGGAAAAGGTCTCAGAGTTGTGGGTTATTTTTTTCCCTAGTGGGTCCTGCTGGCTGTAATAGAGCTTTGTCCCTCTCAAGGAGATTTCCCTGAGATAGACAAACTCCTGTAGGAAATCACAGATGAGGCATTGATTACTTCTCAGGCTCTTTCTGTCCTAGTTTGGGTTTACCATGCTGATAAAGAGAATGAGAGACTGACACAAAGAAATGTAGATAAATTTTTGTGAGTAGCTCCTCTGCCCTAGAAAACTCTCCAGCCCTTATATTAAAACAAGATGAGAACGTAAGAGGTGTTGTTATGACAATGGGGCAGAAATATCCCCTATCAAGGTGGTCTCCTTTAAAAGAAAAGTCAGAGATGAGCAAGTCTAGCAGCAAACAAGCCAAGCAGAGTCTAACAGACATCTATAGAACATTCCATGCAATGACAGCAAAGTTTATATTCTTCTCAAGTGCATATAGAACAGTCTCCAGGAAAGACCATATGTTAGACCACAAACAAGTTTCTATATATTAAAAAAGACTGAAATCATACAAAGTATGTTCTCAGACCACAATGGAATGAAATTAGTAATCAATAACAGAAGGGAATTTGGAAAATTCACAAGCATGTGGAAATTCAACAACAAATTCCTAAAGAACCAATGGGTCAAAGAAAACGTCACACAGGAAATTAGAAAATACTTTCAGACGAATGAAAATGAAAACACAACCACTGCAGCCAAAGAAGTAGTAAAGTTCTCTAGAGAGAAATTTATAGTTGTAAATATTTACATTGAAAAAGAAAAAAAATATCTCAAATCAATAACCTCATCTTTTGGCTTAAGAAGCTAGAAGAGCCAACCAAACCCAAAGTACGCAGAGGAAGGATATAATAAAGATGATAGTGAAAGTTAATGAAATAGAGCATAGAAAAGCAACAGAGAAAATCGACTAAACTAAGACTTAGTTCTTTGAAAAGATCAACAAAATTGACAGACCTTTAGCTAGACTGACCAACTCGAACCCGGGCCAGCCAAAGCGGGTGAACCTTGCAGCCCCAGCTGGAAAGCGATGTAGCTGTGGTTGCTGAGTCAAGGAGTCCCCAATATGAAGTTTCGGTTAGCTGACATCAGTAATAATCACTCTGTTATCCAATATAGGACTTTGGATGGCAATGTTTTCAGCTAACTATGGAAACAAATCACATCTGATCCAACTGTCTAGATCACTCGGGTAGATGCCCATGCTAAGGGCCCAGTCTCGGATGAGACTGACTGGAATCCAGCTGTTGATTGAGCCTGCACTGCGTGAGTTATCTCCATTCCTGCCAGGGTCCATCACCATACCAGACACGGCAACATATCCGCCACCATAGAGAGGGTACGAAATAAAACATTCTATGCTTCTGATGCAGAGGCTACCACTCCATGCCAGACTTGCGATTCCTGCCAAAAGTTCGTCTGTTTGTCCCATGATGTGGGAGGACGCAGTGGCATTGCTCCTGGCCACTCCTAAGAGATTGAATACATGGGACCTTTGGCCCCCTTGGGGCTCTTGGTGCTGCCTCACAGTTTTTCAGTCCAGTCAGCAAACTCTGGCCACACCACTGTGGTTCTCGAGACTAATCCGTGTCATGTTTGCAGCTTTCTGGGCCAATAGTGTACCTTTTATCCCAAAAGCCATTTAACGATGGGCTCATAGTCCAGCTATTCGGTGGGCCATGCTCCCTACGATCCACAGCATGTGGTGCTGTGAACACTGAAGTAGCCTCCTCAAAAATCAACCCAAGAAGAGTCTTCGCCCTCCCTCCTGGCC